GACGGTGTCTTCAATAGGCCTCTTTTGAAGAGCGCTCCCAGAATTGCATTACACATGTAGGACTGGATTCTGGAAGCGCTCTCAACACTCAGGAGAGGTGTACTGAACATGCCGAGGTATTAACTGATAGCTTCGCCTTACTCCAACAGGTTGCAATACAGGATGCAACCGTATGTAGATGCTCCACGCGTCTTTGGCTGTCCTTTCAAGGACTTGGGGCATGATTTGGATCTCATCATTTCAAGTGAGTTGGCCGCTTCTGTACTGCAGAGGGAAGCGATCGGATACTCCTCTCGAGAGGCATGGTTGAGACTGAGTTCGTCGATCTATTTATAACTGCTGCGCTCACGGGATCAGTGAAAGATTTTGCGAGGGAATGTTGCACACGGGTGTCTGTCCTAACTTGTAGATTATTGTGTTACTTGTCTCCTTTGCTAGCCTAAGGTGGGCTTCATGTTTAATGTATTGATCATAGAGTTAAGAAGTACTTGTCAACAACTTTTCTTGAGACTTGTTATCTCAACAGATTTCTTCCAAGGATAGAAGACGAAAAGATCTTCGACTAAGTGGTGTTTTTCATCACCTTGTGCATTGTAGATTGAGCGACGAAATGTGAGGGTTGTTGGGCAATGGCGTGTGTGGTGATGATGCTTGTTGGAAGTTACTACCAGGAGGGGCCTTCTCCTGGAGTTACTGTCAGAGGATGGGAGAATGGAGTGGTAGTCTGATGGATTGGGTCGTAACTGTTAGGCTCATATGCAGTTGGCGCAGGTTCAATTCCTCCGTGGGGTTCATTTTAACATGTACTTCGTATCGAACAGAATTTGTTGTTGATGATATCTGCTTGTCTACCCCGAAGCCGATGACTCTGCAGGATGGGAAGCACTATGCGGTGGATAAATGTACTATGTTGCAACCATTTTCCGTTATTCGTTATTCTCTGAGCTAACTTTCGCGTAGTAAAATCTGCTCTTGATTACGTAGTGGTGCTATTTGGTGGAGAACATGAGAGGTTCGGAGTCGGAGCTGATAGGTTTGACCGAAGCCTAGGGAGTGAAGAGAAGTTTTTTTTAAAAAAGTAATGTTTTTTTGAGGTACCTCTAGTGGAGTTCGTTCTTGCGTGCCTCTAATATGAATCATAGCAGTTCCTGGTCTTTCCCTGGAATGCCATTGGAGTGAAAGTAAATCCTCAATGGGGTGTTGATGATTTTGTCTAGTGAATGAGGAAGGGATGCGACCAGTCACACCGAAGAGTCGCAGAAACACGCCCGACTATGGCAAATGACGGAGCTCATGAGGATGCTTTACTTTAGGACCATGTGTCTTCTGGTTAAATTCAATCACCTCAAGAAGCTTAGCGGAGCGAAGCGGCTCATCCATTTAGGAGATCAACTCTTTGGAATGACGTCCTCGCACACTCGTTAGCTTCCCAATGTTACTCTCTTGATTCATTACCCTACTTGTTGCGTATAGTGCTTCTTATAGTCGCCTTGAAGTTGGTATTATTACTCTGATACTTTATGACAGCAGTCAAGGCAGGGGAGTGGATTAGTTTTGGCATTGAGGAACTGAGGAAATTCCAGAGCCTACCGCAGTGTAGCGAAAAACCAAATAATTTTCCAGCCCTTATCGACAAGGACAATTTCGAGTCGCCTCTACTAGGAAGTAATATGGGAGGTTGCTAATCCGCACTGAGAGATGGAAGGCTTTCGTTCGATGCGATGGTTGTTGGTGTGGCTAAATAGCATTGATGACGGAATTGTGGTAATCAAATCACTAAGCCGAATGAACCAGTAGAAATTGTGGAAGTGATCGTAGTTGTGGACTGTCTGACGCCAATCCTTCGAATGAGTTTACTAGAGTACTATGTTGAGTCCCTTTAGCTTACCGAGGAGGAGGAGATCAGCGTAGAGGTGGTGGACAGGGCAACAGCAGTGGACGTGCAAGAGGCATGAGCAACAACGCGGCTGGGTGGACGGGGTAATACAAAAGTATTACTGTCACGGTGTGGGCTCTATGATGCTGGGTTTTTCACATGGCACGTTAGCAGCCTGTGTGGTCTTCAGGGATTATCATGATCGTTCTGGTGCTGCTCGTGAGGTTGGCAAACCGGGTCAGTGGAGGTAGTAGGGCTGGGCTTAGTAAGGGGACTTATTTCTAGTCTCAATGTGGCTCGTTGATCGACTCTATCATTGGAAATCGGTCTGCTGTATGAGATCGTCTGAATGTTGTGTCGAACGTGGGCTTTGGTGTATCAGGGATGGGGAGGACGACAGAGCTGGTGATCGACATCACCATCAACGTGGAGCACGAAGGTAGTATCTTGATAATCTTCATACTGCGCATCGGGTGTTTAGAGATGATGATCGTGGGGGACGGTACTCGAGTGGGTATCCAACTGGCAAGGGCCGGAAGGGTGGGGGGAGCCGGTAGTACTTTGATCAACTGTGACACGCCCTAGGGTCTTTCGCGAATAATCCATACCACTCCTTTGCGAACTTCCGTTGGAGCTCGTGATGTGTCTCAGAGATGCGACCCCACCAAGCAGTCCGCAAACTATTGGTAAGGCTGCTGGAAGTGGTCGGAAGGCCCCTCTCTCTACTGTGGGAGGTGGAGGTTTGGACCAGTTCACTTTGGGCGATATTAGAAAGGCTGAGAAGACGCTTGAAAAGGTAGGGGTTGTAGTTGACCGGAGACGTGGGGTATTGTTGGAGTTTCACCCGTTTTACGTGAAGTGGCGTAAAACTTGGTGAAAAACGCGATATTCGCGGTATGTTTTAGTCGCGAAATATGTTTTTCACTAGTGTTTTCCATATCACGGGTGAAACTCCATTGTGTTGTTTATTCAGTCCCACATGAGTTTAGGGCAGTACGCTCGTAAGGTTGCCCAAGGAGAAATTGCCAAAACGACAGATGATGACGAAGGGAAGTAAGTGGACCTGATCCGTATCTTACAGTGTTGAACCTAAGATTTTTATTTGTTGTTAGTAAATTCCTCGATGATGATGATGGTTTCTTCGCGAGTGAAATCCCAGACGGTGAAGGAGATGGTGGAAGAATGGCAAAGTGGCTGAAGCCGAGCGAAGGCACTTCCGGTCCGCCCATTGTAATATGAGCAATATTTACTGCACTCCTACTGAGCTCAGTCAGAACCCCTACTGCTAGTTCACAACTGCTTATCATAGTCTGTGGTCAATTCTGTGGGGCTCTCGAAATCACATAAATCACAACTCCTAGGAAAGTACCTCCTTTGCACGCTGTGTGCATCAAAATAACTTTTGTTGCCCGTTCGAGGAAGCGCTTAGGCTAGTCTAGGGCTCGTGGTTCCGTTGTGGATTTGTGAGATCTGTGTATGTTACGGTATGATTAATTTTCCGTGATCAGCCACAACCCCATTTACCAGCGGGCGCCAAGACTTTGGAGGAATTGGAAACATCACAGAGGCAGTCACGACAACAACGAGCTGCTGCTGCTGAATCATCGAGGATGCAGGGAAGGAATCAGGCCGGGGTTGGACAGGTGAGATTCTTCGGGCGAGCGCCGCGGTAAAATTGGAACCTGTTCGGGTCCGTATCGTTGGAGGCACGCTTTTGTCATGTTCGTGCTCAGTGTGGGAAAATATGCACATGGTCAACTACATATGTCGGTGAGAATACGATCATTTTGAGGAAATTGTAGCAAGTGTTTACGATGGTTTGCTGAACACTTCTACCCGAGTTGGTATATAAACTCCTATAATAACTGTAGTGAGGAAACTCCTCAGCTCAGCTGAGGAAAGCGAACATTACACTGTTAGGGTGAACTGCTGAATTTACGAATTTGCCCGAGACGAAAATGCGTTTCTCACACTGCAATACTCTGGTTGTGATACTGAGGTCATTTCAATGCTGAGATCGAAGTATGTTGAAGTTCCAATGATATCATTATAGAATCAACCACGTCGACGGTTGTTAGAGGTTGAGTTGTGTATCTTTAGGGGAGTAACCAGGCCGGTCTAGACATACTATCTATGCTGCATTCTAAAGGGGGTGGCAGTAGCAGCAGTCAACACCAGCAGCCTAGGACAACAGGAGCCGTCCTTCCTCCTCCTCCTCCCCCTCCTCCAGTTGGAGTGAGGGCACCTCCACCACCTCAGTATCGTCCACAGGCCCCGCAAGTTGTAGGACAAACGAGGCTTGGTGTGGGCGTGGCAGTTGTTGGCGTCAGGCATCGCAACAGGGGAGCGCACAGGGAAGATTCTCAACACAGCAAGTGGCCGACCTCTTACAACAGGGAAGGCAGCAGCAGCAAGAGACTGAGAAGGCCCGTCAGCAACAACACATTGAGAATCTGTTGTTGCTGCAGCAACAGCTGATTCGGGTGAGATCTCTGTGATGTGACTATAGGGCATCACGGAAGTCAGGCACAAGCTCGTCAGGAGCAGACCGGGCAGAAGATCACTCCAACACCGCAGATGAGGGCGCTGTTGGAGCAGTTGCAGAGACGACAGGTATGAGGAACGAGAGGTGGCTGTGGTCACGGTTGTGTCAGGCGCAGAGACAACAGCAGCAACAGCAGCAACAACAGCAACAACAACAGCAACAACAACAGCTACAACAGCAGCAAGAGTTGCAACGACAACAGCTGTTGGCATCGGCGATGGCACAGCAGAGGGCTGTTCAGCAACAGCAGCATCAGACGGGCGCCTTCCCTCAGCAGCAACAACAACAGCAGTAGGGTGGTGACGGGTCTATTGGTGTGGCACTGTGATGTTATCAGGATTGATCCAACATTGTTGGCTCGTCTACAGCAGCAGCGAGCTAGGCTGCAGCAACAACAACAACAACAGCAGGCTCAGCTCAGGATGCAGCAGCAACAACAACCACAGTGGAATGCTCAAGTGAGTGCCTCTTGGGTTAGCCCTCGCCCTGATGATGGATTATGATGATTTGTGCACTTCAGCAGCCTCCTCAGTCGAGTTACAGTACTCCGACTCCATCTGAGCAAGGCGCCGAGCAGTGCAACCAGCAGTGACGGGCAGTGTACATATGTGATGGACGTGAGGGAGGTGCCTTACTGATGGAGACGCGCGTTTACCTATTCTAATGTGGAAGTGGTTTGTGTTGTCAATGGCTTGTTGGTGATGGGGAGTCTCGACTGGTTGTCGAGTGCAGTTGGAAGATGCAGTCTGATGAAGGCGGTAGAGAGAAGCTGCATGTGGGATGGGATATAGAGAAAATGACGGAGTCGATAGCAACGACTCATCAGAAGATACAGAATTTGAAAACTGGCATCACTGCGGTGGTCGGTGGGCTGAGACAGATAAGACTAGCGGTGTCCCTAGCGCTGCCACCCTCTGGTGAGAAGCTCCATCTGTTCGAGTCGAAAGTTTATGCAGGGGATCGGTCAAGTAGCGAGTTCAGAAGGATTGATGCGGAAGTGGCCCGGCGACGGTTGGAGCAGTTGAGGAAGGAAATCGCCGACTACAAAGCACAAGTGGGGACGGACTCCTGTGTGAGGGAGCTACTCGTAGGGTAGGTCTATGAGCTGACTGAGACTGAGGAGAATAAGAAACATCTTCGAGGAGGGCTGAGGAGGAGAACTGTGGTTGATGATAAGACGAAGCCATTGTGAGTTGGTTGGCGTGTGGTATTGTTGTTTATTTGTGGATAGATTCGAGAGGTTGGGAGGTGTTACGGACATTGAATCTGCTGTTGATTTAGTGTATGATAGAGCGCTGACTGATACGCGTAAGGCGGAGGGCTTCATTTTGGGAGGGACCTCTGTGTTCCCGACTGATATACGATGCATCATCATGATTATGATGTTGGTGGTGGTCGTCGTTGTTGTTGTGATTGGTATTGGTGGAAGTGCATCAAAGAGGATGCGTTGCATAAAGGAAAGCGGCGTAAATTTTCTTTGATTTTGAGCGCGCATGTCCCCCTGTTGGATCCAAGCGCTGTTTGCTATTGCTATTGGGAGGCCGTCCAGGTACTCGGGCTCACTTCGAGAAGGCTCAGAAGAAAATGGGGCAAATCAGAGAGCGCATGCAGACCTTCGTATTGAGCTATACAGGGGGTCCGGCTAACTATGGAGAGGAGGATCTTAAACCGGTGCGGAAGACTACGACTGGGGATTGATGGTTGAGACGATTTAGGTACACTACCATATGAACATCCTGGACTTCCACTTTGATGCGATGCTTGAGCACTTCAATGCGGCCTTATTGGAGATGGGTGCTCACCCGGAGGCTATTGCAGAGTTCATTCAGCTCTTAGGGAGGATAAGAAAGTATATAACGACAGGGAGTAGGCCGGCTGGTGTAGCCATGATGATGGAGGAGTGTGGTCGTTGGTGTAGGCACGGTGAGGATGTCGATGGCTCGAAAGGCGGCCGAGCAGCGAAGGGACGAGACGTTCCTCAGCCTGGGGGAAAGTGCGGGGATAGCGAGGATCATGAATCGAACGTGAGCGCCTTTGCTGGCACTGTTATGTCGATGGTTGTATTTCTGTAGATACGATATCGTTCAGGTAGATGACCGGCTTCGGAACTTCTTTAAAGGTAGGGATATGGACGCACTGAAAGAACAGCAAACACTGTGAGTGACTGAGGCAACTTCTTGTCGTGTGAAGTGTCCTGTTGGCAGGTATATGTGTGAGCTTCTGGGAGGGCCTAGGATGTTCGACGGCAGCAGAAGTATGTCGGAGATCCATGAGGGTTTGAAGATCAACGACTACCTCTTTGACTGTTTCATCATGGACGCTGACCGTGCACTGCACAGTGAGTAAGTTGACTCAATCAGGGAGACCTAGTCGACATAGGTTTGAATGTGAGTGAGGAGTTGCATGATATCTTCATTTCGATGATGGAAGAGCAACGGAAATACGTCGTTCAAGGCCACAACAAGAAGGATACGCAGAAGCTGGTGGATGGGAAGACAGTGAGGCTCTGAGGCTTTCGTTCTCAGACCTTCTGAAAACTTGATCAGATCCTCGAGCGCATTGGAGGGGAGATGAACGTCGAGGCTGTTGTCGAGACTATGTACGGGAGGCAGCACTGCTTGGATCATTTACATTGCTCGTGTCGTTTTTAGGTATTTCGGCGCGGAACGCGATCCTCGAATAAAGTTCTTCTTTTTCATGGACAAAGACAAATTGGCAACAGTGAAACGGAAGGTCACTGAGTTCCTCTGTGGAGCCATCGGGGATCGATCAACGTGAGCTGGTCACGGCTGGTTCATCGTTGGCCTCTCTCGTGACCTATCAGGATCGATATTAATATTGTGCGAGCTGTGCATTATCCTATGAATATCGGAGATCATCAATTTGATGCTCTTGTGGAGAATCTCTCGACCTCGATGGAACTAATGGAAGTTGAGCACGATGTTAGGGAGGACGTATTAGGAGTCGTGAACCATGTAAGTATGGTATAGTGCACGAGTGACCGCGCTGCTGATTCCCATCAACTTTCTGTTGCTTCTGCCCTGTATGATGCGGGGAGTAGAGAGCATTGGTGTGACGATTCTCTCAGTTGAGGGGAGACATTACGGCTGGTGCCACCAGTAGGTTGGAGATTGCTCGTAGGAAGACTGAATCCGCTGGTAAGTGTCAGCCTCCTCATCTAGATATCTATGCAGTGACTCTACAATGTATATGCTATTAATCAGGCACCGATGGTCTCTACAAGACTTTAGGAGCCGATAGTGGAATTGCTCGGTTCGTGGACGAGCTGTAAGGCTGCCTTGATCCTCGCGGAATTCACTGCTGATATTGTCGTATTTTGGTGACGACTATATTCAACGTTCGGGGGGGGGTGCGTCACGGTTCCTTATTCATCGACTTGAAAGATACAGTATATGCCTTGTTGATGAGCGTATCAAGATGTTCTTCCAAGGCAGTAAACTTGAGGCGGTGAAGGCGGCCCAGACGGTGTACATGCAGCAGCTGCTAGGGGGAGCTGTCGAGTGAGGGTTAACTCACTACTCTTATACAAGACATCGCGATCATGGTGAATGTAGGTACACCGGTCGTGAGCTGCGAAGGATCCATCAGACCCTCCTCATTCAAGACTGGCAATTCGATGCCTTCCTGGACAACGCCCACAAGGCCCTTGCAGCTCTAGGGTTGGCTCGACTACCTCTCAAACGACCTCTTATGGAGCCCTCAGGTGTGACAGTGATACGATAGATGAATGCACTGTGCTGATGGAGACGACTCGACTGGTACCTCCTTGTGGGACCACATGGCTCATATGCTTGCCCTTTCTCAGAGGTGGTCTCAGACGTGAACAGACAATTTGATGTGAAGCAGATGATCAAAGATGCTCATAAGAAGCCTCTTTACGAGCGAATCGGAGGGGAAGTAAGTAAGTAATCATCCAAGGGCCTGTGGGTGTTATTACTATATTTCCTCCCTCAGCTGTTGCGAGGTTGTGCGAAAGTATGTATGCTGCTGCCCTGGAGGATGATCGTCTGCGATTCTTCTTTGAGAAGAACAAAGCCAAGGTGAGTCCTGGTCTTAGCTGTGGGCTTGGGAGTATGCACGAATGGCTTGATACGTGCACCACTCTATTAATGAACTCGATGTGACCTCTAGCATATGAGAACAATCTCGGTCTAGTATTAATGCAATGGATTGTTGGTTTCGTATCGGGTCATTGCGTTATTCGTCTCGGAAACTGAGGGCTTCGCAGTTATAAAACGCATGATGAGTGGCTATGTGTCGGCCTTAGGTCCAGTCGATCAAGAAGAAGATGACACAATTCATTTGTGGTGCCATCGGAGGTGATCCTGTTGTCGACCCATTCTTCGTATAAGTCCGTCTACGTCTGCTTATAGTAACCTTTTTCACATTAACTTCTTTGCAGCATGCATGTTGCTACGGGGCTGCTTGATGTGTTGTGGTCAGGCGCGTCGACTTATGATGTGGCCGATCTACGACCAGCACACTATTCGATGAACATCGCCTCTCACCACTTCGACACCATGCTCTCTATTATCAAGGAGGTCTTTATATATCACATCCCAAGATGTCAGTGCTGCTGTCAGATTTTGACGGTGGAGCTGGAGCTTAGCAAGGCGGATGTGAGGGAGGTCCTCAAGGCCATGCAACCTGTTAGAGGGGATATTATCAACGGATGTGAGTGTCTCTGTGTTCTACACCTCTTTCCACTATCATTATTGCAGCCATGATAGGTCTGGCTGTATAATTCATAGGCGAACAAGCAGGGTTTGTGGAACTTTTTCAGTCGTTCGGGAGGAAGCCTTAATTTGCCATAGCGATATTACATTCCCAGCCACATCGTCGTAGCTATACGTTTCGTTATTCTGATGTGTTCTATCTTCTTGACCTAGCCATTGTACATACTAAGTGCGCATGTCGTTAAGTTCAACTGGTGTCGGAAGTTGCGGTCATCAAGTCGTATCATTTCTCACGTTATAAAGCTTAAGGCAGATGAGTGGCATCGCATAGTGCTGGTGTAGTTACCGTTCGATCGGAGATAGCGCGAAAATCTACTGAAGACGGTCTCGACCAAATGTTCCTCAGGTTAGGTGAGCATGTGAGGTTAGTTCCTTCGCCGTGCGGATTCAGTATCTTTCAGGTGAAGCTGACGGCATAGCACGAGTTGTGAATTCTCTGTTCTCGATCCTCGGCACTGACGCACGAATTAAACGGTTTTTCAAAGCAGAGAAGCGAGAGCAGTTGAAGCAAGGAGTTACGGTCTTCTTAGTCGACAGGTTCGGTGGACCTAAGGACTACGAAGGTGCATCAGCTGCATGTCTCTCGGACCAGCTCCAGTTGAATCCCGGCAGGTCGTGATCTCGCAGTGGCTCATGAAGGGCTCGGCATCTCCGACTATCATTTTGATGCCTTCGTGTCCGACTTCCTGAGGTGAGGGTTTGTGGGATGACCCAGTATGTATCTGTACTTGTGCCGTTCGTAGAGCTCTGAGCGGCAGTGGTGTGGAAGACACTGTTGTTGATGAGCTTGTTGTGACTTTGGAGCCTTTGCGCTCAGAGGTGAGAGGGGAGCGCTTGGTGGTCATGACTAGCGTCTTTCCAGGTGCTTGGTCGTAGAGATGAAATTAACGCGGTGGTGGTGAAGAATGGTCACACGCTGTTCGAAAGGCTTGGGGGAGATGAACAATTGGAGACTTTAACTGACGTCTTGTGAGAGAATCCAACATACGCCCGGAATAACAGTTGAGACTGGACCGTCGGTTCTGACGGTCCAGTCGCAAAATTGTTGACCCCACACCGCGGTGTTACTGGCATAGACGTGCAAACGGCGTCGCGATGCGTTGTGACTTAAGAAAGTGTTTTCTGTGTGAAAGCGAGCAAGAATGACTCTCATGAGAAAGTGTATAAGTCAGGAACGAGAAACTCGTTGAGGACAGCCGTTTGCGCTTCTATTTCGAGAAGAGCCACCTCAAGCGGAGGAATATTCGTAAACGAATATATCAGTTCATGTCGGGAGCCTTTGGCGGTCTCAGTCGGTAGGTCGCAGGTTCGTCCCCCGCAGCTGCTATTTCTTCTCTTAGTTACGATAATGACAGGCTCAAACCTGCCCATTACAATATGAACATAACCGATTACCACTTCGATGCCTTTTTATCGGTTTGGTTGGCTACATGTGAGTCTGCCGCCCTTTGCGGCCATTCTACCGTTACGGGTTGCGTATCGAAGGTAAAGAGTTGGAGGTAGACCCAGAGAGCGCTGAAGACTCCCTTGAAGTACTCAACGGGGTGCGATCGGCCATCACCAGTGGCTGCGTTATGAGGATGGAGATCTCTCGCAAAAAAGTAGATTACGAGACGCCTTCTTGGTCTTACGTACGTCCTAACTAGGCGCAGTTAGAAAGTCCTGGTCACCTTTTCGAGCGTCTGGGAAAGGAGAACGGCGTTGTCGAGTTGGCCGAGAAGCTCCATACAATGGTCACTCGAGACCAACGTAAGTTTCTGTGTATCAATATGCTTAACTATTGGCTGATGCCTCTTGAAGGCATCGGCATGTTCTTTGAGGGTGCCAAGCTGGAAGATATGTGGCGAGGGGTTACCTCCTATTTACTGCAAGTCTTTGGGGGTCCACAGGCGTATCGTGGTCGGCCACTTGATGAGGTGCATGAGGTGAGACGACCGCTCGAGCAGAGCGCCTTTCCGTGGTTATGTCCCCTCTGTAGACACTGGCCATTACCGACTATCATCTCGACTGCTTCCTCCAACTTCTATACAGATCTCAACGTCTGCTCGGACAAAGCCGCGAGCTTTGCAACGACACTCTAGTATTCGCTCGACTACGTCTTGGCATGCTTTTTCAACACGTCCAGGGTATGAGATTCTCTCTCAGGAAACACTTGAAAAACTTCGTCCTCAAATCCTTCGCGCCCACTATGCGGGAAGTGGCGGCCACCACTTAGAGGGACCCGCAGGAGCGTGATGACCGACGACAGCAGCAGCATGTTTGCTAGCCGATCGGTTCGCGTCCATGCACATGACTCAATGACGTTATTTCGATATGCTATGGACTTTGCGTTTTGCACGAGTTCTGAATGGATGGGATTGTAGAATTGCCTGAATAGGTCGGCAGTGTGGGAGAGTATGCGAATGGTCAACTGCATGTATTGGTGACAATATGAAGGTTCTGAGGAAGTTCTGGGAAAATCTTATTGGTTTCTGTACACTTGTACTTAAGCTGGTGTATGAACGTCTATAGTTAGCGATGAAACTTCCAAGTTCAACTGGGGGTAATGAACGTATTCTCCGACACTGTAGATCGGGGAATACACCAAACACATTGGACGTGAGGACGGGACTATACGACGCGGAGTAACGATAAAAATCCCTTTTCCGGGGTTCGAACCGGTGTCTCTCTCTAGACCGGAGTCAGCCGCCCCCATCTGGTTGTGAACCAGTCGCAGACGTTCGAGCAGAGTAACGCGGGAGAGGGTCTGAATGGGCAATAACAACAGCAACAGATGGTGAGACCTCTATTGGGCTGCCCCGGCCCCGGATATCCAATTTGAGGCGACTTCGATGATACTAGCAAAACTCGTCCCTTCGCTCCGGGGATATCTAGCTCTCTGACGCTCGGGTGTGTAAGCGATGTGTTAAGATACACGCATTGAATGCCCTTGTCACCCTGAATCGAGAACGTAGACCTATACGTCTTTGGAAGTATCACATTGAGACTCAATCTGATAGTCATCCTCAAGCAAACATTTTCTGAGTAACTTGAGAATACGAG